GATAAATGATAAGATGTTATAATTATCATTTTTCTTAACATTATTAATGTTCGTTACTACGTAATCTTGTATGTAAGATAATATAGTGTTTTAGTTTTAGTGACGGATAGGTTTTAAGTAATACGTAGAATTAGAATATTTGTTCACTTTTTCCCGCATTTTACAATTTATTTATCTCTTCACCAATGATTATTTATTTATTAAAATATTAATATTACCGGTTGATGCATTTGATTCCTCAAAAATATCAAATAGTAACACTTCCTGGAAGCAAAATGATAAATTATAAAATCAAATTAAAGATAATTGATTGAATGATAAATGATAAGATGTTATAATTGTCATCTTCCTTTGCAGTGTTTTAGTTTAAATGACTAATAAATTTTAAGTATTGTTTTATAAATTTTGTAACATTAAATTTTCGCACGAGTAAAAGAAGTTTTAGTGGCAACATAAGTCGCTGCGAATACCGATAATAGTCGCCACTAAAAGACTGTTTTAGTGGCAACATTAGTCGCCGTCAATACCTATAATAGTCGCCACTAATAGTTTGTTTTAGTGACAAGATTAGTCGCTGCTAATACCTATAATAGTCGCCACTAAAATGCTGATTTAGTGGCAATATTAGTCGCTGCTAATACCTATAATAGTCATCACTAAAAGAATGTTTTAGTGACAAGATTAATCGCCGCTAATACCTATAACAGTCGCCACTAAAAGAATGTTTTAGTGGCAACATTTATCGCTGCTAAAACCTATACTAGTCGCCACTAAAAAAAAATTTTAGTGGCGACATTAATCGCCGCCAATACCCATAATAGTCGCCACTACTAGTATATGATAAATAAAAATAAACAAAAAGAGTAATATATAGAAAATGAATTTTCTGACACTTTACGCGCATCACACACGGGGTACTTTACTAGTACCTAGAACAACATTGGAAAAGATTACATAATACATTAATAAATTACTAAGGCCTGTTTGGTTTAACAAATTATCTTCGAAATAAATTTTGAAATTAATTATTTCACAATTGTTGTTTCACCTTGAATATAAGATTAAAAAATAGAATAAATAATTTTACAATAATTAATTTCAGCCAAAATATAAAATAAACTTATTCAAAAATAAATTTTGATATTAATTATTCTTTATTCCTCGTAACAAAGGAGTCGGAGAGTTTCTTGGAATATGCTGGGCTTAGTCCTTGTTGTCCCCGGGTTGACTTGCTCTATAAAACCCAACAAATATCCCTTCTTCACCGTACCCCATTTCTTTGTGCCTAAGCAAAATCTCAAAACTCTCTTAAACCAGAAATTCAATTATGAGTTACTACAATCAGCAGCAACCCCCTGTTGGTGTACCACCACCACAAGGTAAATTGCTTCAATTTCTGAATTTTTTTGATGATTTATGGTAAAGTTCATGTTTTTATTTGTTGTTTTGATGATTAGATCTGATGGGGTTTTGGGGAATTTTGTAATTAGGTTATCCACCTGAAGGTTACTCTAAAGATGCATACCCACCACCAGGGTATCCTCAGCAAGGTTATCCACCACAGGGTTATCCTCAGCAAGGTTATCCACCTCCACAGTATGCACCTCAGTATGGTGCTCCACCTCCTCAACAACAGCAACAGCAATCTAGTAGCACTGGATTAATGCAAGGATGGTATGCATCTTTACACTTGTGAAAAAAGAGTTTTTTATTGATGTTTTGTTATGATTTAGTTGTGTTGTTGAATTGTATGGATGTGGTTTGTATGATCTGAGATTTTTTGGATTGAGTTGACCATGTATGATAAGGTGTGTATTGATTTGATTTTTGTCAACTGAATTGGGTGAGGTTAGTATGATCTCGGGTTTTGTTGACTAAGTTGCCGAGAGACTTATTCATATGTGTGTGTTTTTCCTTGTTTATGTTGAAAAGATCTTTGTTTAAAATAATAGAAATTGATCATCAAAAGGGGAAAGTAGAAGCAAGGGGGGCTAGACCTCTAGATCTTAATTGCTGCATAGATTCATCATGTTGCTATCCAGGATCACCTTGTTGATTTTCTTTGAATGTTTTAGCGACCTTTGGATTTGATATAAGCATTCTAGGTATGTTTGGATGAATTTCTTGACCAGTTTTAGCCGACAGAAGATCAAAGGAATTTGGACAAGAAATGTCCTTTTGGGGCAGAAGCTCGGGCATATGGAATATCTCTCGTGTGTTGCTCATTAACACGAGCAGGAGAGCCAATTCAAATGCCTAAATATTTTTTATGTGCCGCCCTTCATTTTATCTCTTGTTTTCATTGTATCTACTGATTCATCACCAGTAGCATGCTTGGAATTTTCAACTTGTTGCACAATATCATGTTTCTCACTAAATTCTGTCCTGAATTTGCGCTCATACACTGCTCAAATTGCCGGTTTAGACTTAACTTGTGTTGCTTTGTCTATAGCTATTGTTTTCCAACTGCTGCTCCTATAGACAATAATAATGACCTCTTAACTAAATAAGTCTGGAGCTAAGTTCAGCAAAGAAATCCACACTGCCGCCTTAGTCGTTTCTACCTTGTGGTTAACATCAATTGACCATGGGAATATGCTATATTGATGCTCCTTTCCATTGATCAAACCTTAAAGTTGTCGCAGTGCCAATGAACTAGTCAGGCAATGACCCTTGATTCCGTGATGCTTCAGTAGCAATGTCCTTAAGTCTTTGATTCCGAGATGTTTCAGTAGCCCTTTTTTCTTTTAGCACTTCTCATTGTATTTGAACTTATCGTATTTCTAATTTCCATTCGGACTAATAATCGGTTGTATATGTTTTGCAGTTTGGCTGCTCTGTGCTGTTGCTGTCTCTTGGATGCAATCTTTTGAGGCTGTAAATGATCTGTGCCATGTGTTGATGGCAAAAGTTGATTGAATCAATTATATCATAATCTAGACTTTTTCTTTCTGTGTTTTGTCCTTTGGTGTCTTGTCCTATACTTTGATAAATAATTTGATCTTGATGTGCTGAAGATTCCAATGCTTCCAAAGTGTTTGTTTTGCCAAATTATAGGTGGTTGGTTATGTACAATGTGAGAGATTCTATTTTATTTTATATGTTTTGGACCTCAAATATTATATGTTAATCAATGTACCTTGCCTTGGTTACAAATTTATGCTCGTGTTGTATTAAATGTGTTGCGAACACAACTTTTGGGTTAAGCCCTGATGGTTAACCCAAAAGTTGTTCGAATAAGAGAGTGTACACTACGCACTATCAAATAAATATTAACTGGTGTAATTTTTGATAAATAGTTGGTGATAATTCAGATAGAAAAGTTGGTGAGATAGCACCTTTTTTGTTGTTTATATCCAAATATAAATGGATACCTATGCAATTTAAGAGAGTGGAAGAAACAACCTACATCTATCACTTCCACATGATTTGGGACCTTGACATGAGCTCAAAATATGAAATTGTTTTGTTAGATAGCACTTCACACTCTTTCTATGAATTTTAATTTTATTGAGCGCTAGTATTAATATCAGACACCAAGGTAAAAATATAAATGTAAGAGAATTTTAGGAGCTTTGACTTTCAGTAGCGTGTCATATGTTATTTCAACTTTTAAGTCATCATTTAATATGCATCAATAATTCAAGCTATCCTTGTTTTTAATATTCAGAGTAGCATGTAAACTATTCTGCAAAACAATGAATTATAGTTAGTGGCAGATTTAAAAATTTTACTTAGGCAATTTAAAAAATAAAAGTTCAGTTTCTAAGATTTGAATTTAAAACCACAAGATACATTACAAGTTCACGGAATTCAAAATCTCAATATATACATATAATTTTTTTTTAAAAATACCTTACATATACAGTGTAATTTTTTATCAAAGAATATGGATGAATACCCTCTTGACCCTAGATCCGCCCTAATTACAACTTGTCATACAAATTATTAATTTGCAAGTTGTAGAACTAATGATACATAATTTTATCTAAAATATCATTAGATATAATAGTACTTGTTACTTGCCCCTTGAAGTTAGCATTATTAGAAAATAGAATACATGCATTAAAAAAATGGCAGAGCTAGTCTATAAATTTGAACACTTGCTCCTGTTTATGAATCAAACAAGAAAAGAAATCAATTTGAGAGTTTAGAGAATATGGCAGTCAACTCCACACCAATTCCTCTCCTCACTCCTTACAAAATGGGGAGATTCAACCTCTCTCATAGGTATTTTTTTTCAAACAACGTTTAGTCAATAATCTTTCTCTCTCTACAGTTTACTATGATATTCAATTTAATTATGTATATAATTTTTTTTTCCTTTTGTTTGATAGAACTAAAGGATAATGCATAAAATCATGCCTAACTCATCATTTCTCAAGTTTTCAAACAACACAAAATATAGAGTTAAGATTTTGAGTAATATTTCACGCTCCTCGTGTATACTACTTACAAAGAACATTTTAGCTATAAAAAAGATCGAAAAAATCATGCTCAATTAAAGTATATACTATAGATAATAAAGTGAATATTCAGTCACTCACAAAATTGATTAAGACTTGAGAGACGATAAGGTCAGTTTGGATATGAAAGAATGGGATAAGGGTCTGAAAAATACCCCAACTTTGGTCGGATTTGCTGTTGCGATACTAAACTTTCATAAGGACCTATTACCTCCCTAGACTATTTAATACCGTATTTTTTACTCCCTGAACTATTTAATAGTGTATTTTAAAGGTATATATGTGCTCACGTGGACACATTACTATTTATAATTTTGCATTATTTTTTATGTCCACGTGGGCAAATATATATGTTTAAAATACGGTATTAAATAGTCTAGGGAGGTAATAAAGGACCTATTACCTCTCTAGACTATTTAATACCGTATTTTTTATCTCCTGAACTATTTAATAGTGTATTTTAAAGGTATATATGTGCTCACGTGGACACATTACTATTTATAATTTTGCATTATTTTTTATGTCCACGTGGGCAAATATATATGTTTAAAATACGGTATTAAATAGTCTAGGGAGGTAATAAGTCCTCATGAAAGTTTAGTATCGCAACAGCAAATCCGACCAAAGTTGGAGTATTTTTCAAACCTTTATCCCTGAAAGAATCAAATGAAATAAGACATTAAACATGATTTTTTTTAAAAAGATTCTCGCATAGTTTAGACGTGTAATTAACAATTTCACTATAATTTAGGTGTGTTTCTATGCCTTAAACCTGAAAATTAAACATGATTTTTTTTACAGAGTAGTGATGCCACCAATGACAAGGAACAGATCATATAATAACACTCCACAGCCACATGCTATTGAATATTATGCTCAAAGAGCCACTAAAGGGGGTTTTCTTATTTCTGAATCAGCTAGTGCCTCTGATATTTCCCAAGGGTAAAATTTTTCTATAACGATGTCGTTTATGTGTATATTTTTTTTTTTTTAAAATAATCAAGAATTCGTATAGTCGACCTTAACTAAATTGTTATATTTTAATAAAGGTCCCCAAATATGCCTGGAATTTGGACAGAAGATCAAAAAGAGGCTTGGAAACCCATAGTTGACTCTGTTCATAGCAAAGGTGGTATCTTTTTTTGCCAAATTTGGCATCCAGGAAGGATATCCAACTCAAGACTAAACAATTGGTGGTTTCTTTGGACTAACGCTGCAGGTGAACTTAAATCCGTCTCTGAACTCAACATACACAATATATATATGAGTATAACATATCGAGTATACCTAATGTTGAAGCCATCATGTTATGTTATTCACGCTTCAAATATTAATAGAGTTTTTAAAAAAAAGTGTAATGTATATAATATTGTGTACTTGCTAAGTAGTGTATATATTTGTGTAGCACCTCATGATGGTGCGTGCGTGGAACCAACACTAAGGCAATTAAGCACTTGTGAACTCGCTCACATTGTCGATGATTTTAGAATTGCAGCTCGCAATGCTATCGAAGCTGGTGAGTTTTCTATTTAACTACGTGAATATTCATTTTATAAATTTGTTATTATTTAAAAAGTCATGAAATAATCTTTTTAGGATTCGATGGAGTTGAGATCAACTCAGCAAACAGCTACATAATTGAACAATTTTTTAATGATCAAGTCAACGATAGGAGTGATGAATATGGTGGGAGCATAGAGAATCGTTGTAGATTTGCTCTTGAAGTTATAGGAGCAATTGTGAATGAAATTGGAGGAGATAGAGTTGGAATAAAACTCGGAAAAAAAGACTCAAACCCAGAAGCTCTGTTGACTTATTTGGCTAGTCAATTGACTAAGCTCGGAGTTTTATATCTTCATGTGTTCGAGCCAAGGGACGAACCTCGTAATAATTGTCTTCAATTTATAAGAAAGTCATTTGAAGGGACACTTATTGCTTCCGGTGGCTATAATAAAAATGAAGGAGATGTGGCTATTTCTGAAAACTGTGCAGATTTGGTCTCATTTGGACGTTTGTTTTTGGCTAATCCAGATTTGCCCAAACGTTTTGAGGTTAATGGGCCATTAAACAAGCATGATAGGAGCACTTTTTACAAAAATGACCCAATTGTGGGTTACACTGATTACCCATCTCTTCAACTTGAATTTGCTTAATTTCGAAAGACGGAATAATCTCGAAGACCCTTGTAATCGTTCTGATTTATCATCCCGATTTATTTACTTCACGAAGTGTTGCAATGGACACCTAAACTTGTGAAATTTCATTGGGTATATTGTTATTGTCATCGTTGGTTTTGAGATTCTTTGGTTGGTGTTATACATGTATAACAACATTTGACATTCAAGATATCATTTTCCTTTAGTATTCCTGTAACAGTTGCAGAAATATGTTGTTCTTTTATCTCTCTTTGAACAAACATTTCAAAGTACAAGTTTAGCAAAATGGTACATCAGAGAGATTGTATATAACCAGAAACAAAGCTTAATCTCAAGGTGTAACTGTACATAGTAATGCCAAGATCAAGAACTGTTATCATATGCCATAAATCAAGAACTGATATCATATGCAAAATATTGGGGATCAATGTGAATGAACTGTAGAACCCTTTTGTCCTAAAGGGTTGAAAAATTACACTAACGAATCAAGATATCTACACGTATGCTTTCTATTGTATTCGAGCAAGCTTCCGTATGTTCGATCCCAGATACCAATGTAAAGAGATTCGTCGTCTGGACTCAGAGATACCCCTGATATCTCACCAAAAAGATCAATTTCCTGACGTTTCTTGTAGTCTGACTTGGTACTGTAGATATGGACAAAATCTGCAGGTTCAGCCACTACAAGGAACTGTCCATCGGATGAGAAACGGATAGATCGAGCAGCACCGATGTTTCCCTTCAGAATGGCAGTAGACGAGGATAAGTTTCTCAAGTCCCAAATTCGACATGTCTTATCTTGATTCCCAGTGGCAAATGTACGGCCATCTGGATGCCACGCACAAGCAAAAGAGTAGTCTAAATGACCAACAATTGAAGCCACCGTCTGTTAACAGTAAACAAGCTCCCTTAGATAAGATTTGGGAAGTTCAGCAAATGGAAAACTCATACGAAAGCCGAAATATGGAGAGACGTCTTTGAAGGAAAACGAAATTTAACTTGGGAATAATTTTGCCAAATAATGACCTCATCACAAATGCAGTAACTATATCGACCTAACATGATTCAGACTTAAAAAACTGACGGACCGTATTTACATAATCAAAAGGTTGTACTTCATCTGATTTTCTGTAGATTCAGTATAAGTGAGCTATATGTATTCATTTCCTCTGAATTGAACGATCAATACTACTATCAGAGTGAAACAACGGACTAAAGAAGGTAATGGTAAAAAAATTATAATACCTTTCCATTGCGGGAATCAACAAGTAAACCATTTAGATCATCTCCAACAACAGTAAAAAGCTTGCAATCTGGGCTCATCGAGGTGTGCTGCATCAATTACCAGTGAAATTAATAAATACATGAGCTCATGAAGGATGCAACTTCAAACAAAATTGAAATATCTGTTCACATAAAGAATGTAGACAGGAAGAAATAATTCTTAATCCAGATGAAACTTGGAGAGAAATGAATATCTATTCGGATATATCCCCTACTATTACTTTCTTATAATCTCTGAGGAAATGTGATTCGACAGACAAGGTCCTGAGTCCAATGAATAAAATCCCTGCTTATTAATAGCAAAATCTCATACTAGATCTGAAGAAACTAGAGGAAGTTGAACGGAACTTCTTGATAGTAGACAACAGCCTGCGGGTTTCCACTATGTACATGCCAGTTCATCTCTCAAGTAGGGGGTATTACTATCTAAGGATGTAATATTCTTCTATCAGTGTAAGCAAAAGAAGAGAATAGAAGATTCTATAACAAAAGAAAACGCCACTCGCACTTGGCAATTAGAAAAAAAAGCATTCTATCTATGATATGATACCTGGTTGATTGAATCAACATGTGATGTTGGCTTATAAATCTTAAAAGAGAAATGAAGCTACGGAGAGGCAGCTCGTTGATGATTGATCTCAACTTCAAATAAGAGGAAATATAGATCCAAAGTTGTTGTAACTACTTGATATGAAGTACAAAAACTACTACAACAACAACAAACCACTATGTGCGTTGATGACGACTGACTTCGAGCAAATGAAAAAACTTCAATAACCCATTAAAGCACGACAAAATAATTGCTCGCTAGAAACAAGTTCCGATGTCAAAATAGTAGATAAACAAATACAACCATGAGGAGCATACAAGTTAAGAAAATAAACATGAAATTGAGCATAAAAGAGTATCTCAGGGGTATTCCAGAATGTCAGCAGAAAAAGCAATCATGTTGGCAATCTACAATATAAGAAGTTGCACCATCAGCCACAGCAATTGTACTCATTGCAAACCTCTATGGCACTGCCAAATCTCAAATATTCACCCTCCATAAATTGGTCCTCTAAGATGAAACAAATGAGAATGATGGGATTTATCTTCAACCGCTTGGCCTTCATCTAGCCTATCTAATCTACCACCAAACCTGAATGTATAAAACCCATTGAGGTCACTCAGATACTAAAAGCCCCTTGTTGGGCTGTCACAATACAAGGTCCTACAAGGAAGAATTATTAAATAACCACTTCCAGCCTCAATTTAAATCAGAAAGTTGCAGTCCATCTAAAGCCTCATACTAGAATTTCATTTGATTAAAAAAAGAACTTACACTAGAAATTCATGAAACTACTCTATCCCACTAACACCCAATGCATGACAATGTTGATGATGAGGAGGAGAATAATGACAATTACCAGTTTGGAACTTCTCCACAACCTGCCAGTTCACTTGTATGAAAAAGCAAGTATATTTATACTTCACGGACAACCAAAACTACTACAGTAACTAATGATAGGAAATCAAAAAAAGCAAAGAAAAGTGTTATATGGTGGGCTATTTGGAAAGAGAGGAATTTAAGATGGTTTGAGAGCTTAGTGAACAGTGTGCAGAAAGTTAAACTGAACTGCCGTCTTTTTCTAGTTTTTTGGTGTAACCAACTATACTCAAATGACACTATCTCTATTATTGATGTCCTAGACTCAATCTAGTCATAGAGAAGTGAAATTGGGAGTACATTTGTATATAAGGTTTCAATACAACCCATGTATTGTTTTGTGATATAATACAAAGTTACCAAGTTCAAAAAAAAGCAAAGAAAAGGGAAGAACAAAAGATTGCAGCAAAAGCACGTAAAAAAACTGACATTCACTGGCCAAGGGAAGCGGAAGTGGTTCATCTGCTGAAACTTCTCCATGTCATACACCCTCACACCACAGTCGTTGTTGGCTGCCATAAAACGAGGCCCACAACTGCACAATGTTCATACTTACTTCCATCAGTTGAAGTTTCAAGCTAGCTCAACAATTGATTATGACATTCATACTACCTGACGCTTTCATATATCTCAACGGCATTTGTGATAGCATTATCCTCATAAGTGGTCCTTGCACAGAAGCTAACCCCTGGCTTGTCCAAACTCTGCAATATTTGAAGCAAAGTAAAGAAAATACCACAAATAATGCAAGGATGTACATAGTAATCCGTAGGACTAAATCATATTAATAGCTCATAATGTTAAGCCAACCATTTAGTACAGACATAATATCTTCCAGTAAGTTATAGCCACGTTAGTTAAAAATAAGATGGTGGGAGAGAAAAGTAGATTTTCACTTCCACTACAGAAGCTCTTTTTAACTGACTGGCTAGTCTCAGATATTAGCAGTCATTAAGAGAAATAGGAAAATACCCCAACTGACCTTACAAATGAGTTCTCCTTGGAAGCCTCCAGCAACCACAAAACGGTTCTTCACCGCCATCGTGCTGATTTGGGTCAGTGTCAGACCCTCTAACAAATTTCCTGCATATTTCTAAAGGACCAAAACAACAGAAAGAATAGGTAAAAACGAAACAGAAAGAGAAGAAATAGTTATAGTCCTAATGAAGCAAAGAGAAGAATGTTTTAAAAGGAAAAATCAGGATAAACTTCTTTTTCCCTCCTGTGTTGAGGCGGGTACGGTGCAGGGTATGTCTCTCATACCCCACAACAAAGCCAATAAACCAGAGTACTGAAAAGGCATTGCACACAAGAGACAATTTTTTCCAGGCTATATCACGCATAAGAGGAGAGAAAGAAGCAAGAGCATAGCAAAACAAAGTAAAGGACCATCACTAAATACTTTTCAGTTACCTCTGTCGGTACTATACGTCCAGAGAAGTTGAGAACTTCTGAGAGGTTGTGGGAAATTGATGACCAATGCATAAGTGAATCGTTTGAAATCAAATACACATCATGTTTTGAAGTTGCCCAGACCAAGTTTCTTAGCTGCAAACAAGAGGCATAAGAAGTGTCCGTGAAAGATCTCCATATAGCAAATTGAGCCCACCCAAACCCCAAAAAAAGTTAGGTGACATATATCACAGAAAAATAACGAACTTTGAAACTATTACTAAAAGATGCAAGCCCCCGAAAGCATCACATATGTTATCTAACCACTTACAAGATAACAATTGACATGAATAGCAAAATAGAGATATAATTCATTTGGAAACCTAATCACTTTTATCTATCACTGGAGGAACAAAATCAATGGCATATTGTTTTTTATTTGAATATGAAAGGAAAAAGAAAAAGTACAACACAAGAAAACCGTGTCAGGCATGGAACAGGAAAATTTGTAAGAGTATTCTTTCTCTTTAACTCATTTTCTTCTTCATGCCGATTCCCATAGAAGGAGTCCAAATCTCTGCTGTAGCACTAGGAATCCAGCGTTTTAGACATTTGGCATGTCAACTTTAAGTAGGTGAGTAAAACACAAATCTTTTAAATTCTAAAGGATAGAGAAACCAAACCATCGTTAATCTTAGATATTGCAGACAGGAAGGGCCTCAAGTACATATGTTTTTTTACTCAATCGAGATGACAATGATGTTTCTTCCACTAAAGAGTCTTCCTGACTTATAAAAGCTAAAAAGAATTCAAACTGGAAGAAAAGTAGGTCCTACACAGCCACCTGAGATAAGTATTTATCGCATCTAGAAGTTAGGACAGGGTTACACAGTATATCCAGAATCTGCAGCACAGGGTTATCATATGGTATGCTTAATCTGCAGAATAAATGCAGACCTGAAAATGGAGTATCGTAGGCTTCACGGATCTTGCATTGTAAAAGAATTCGTAGTAGTTACCACCCTTCTCCACTTGTTTGCATTCCTGAAAATGTGTAAATGACCAG